GTGGTGGCTGCCAGGAGTGTAAGAGTAGCAGAAAGGACTAGTTCTGTGCCTAGGTCAGCTGTAGTTCTTCAATGAGGACAAGACAAAGGAGATGCAGAAAAGGGGGATACTTGAAGCCAGACAGGAGTGGAATGCAGAACCTGGAGAAATTAATCCTGTGGGGCTGGAGTGCAAGTACTGCATTCAAGCATAGTCACCAGATAAATCTCGATTGAGTAGACATTTATTGGCTCTAGAGGGTTGGAGGTAAAAGAAAGATTTCAGGAATAGGTAGGGAAGGTACTGGCAAGACCAGTGAGCCCTCGGGACTTCCTGCAGGTTATGGATTCAGAGACTTTCTGCACAGCAGTGCTTACACTGTGGCTTTGGTGTTGCTTTTCTGCCTGCAGACTTCTCGGTTCAGACATCAGGCCATCATGCTGGCTGTCAGCAGCTCACTTTTTGGTTTCTTCGGTTTTGCCATCTACCCCATTGCCATGGAGCTGGCTGTGGAATGCTCCTACCCTGTGGGAGAGGGTACATCTACAGGCCTGATTTTTGTTGCAAGGTAAGCAGGCAGGTTAAATCCAATTGACAGCTGGGCTTGGATTCAAACACATATACACAGAGGTGTGTGGGTGCAAGTAGAAAAGAGCATAGCCATCAATGCTAGCCATGCTACTGAACTTCCCTCTAGTGTCTGTGCATGTGACCAGAGCAAGGGGTGAGCTGGCTGGCTAAGCCACAGAGCTGAAGAGCTAGTTTTTAAAGCAAGGGGGAGTATGTGGAATTTGTACAAGAAAAGCAAGAAAAAAGATGAAGGTCTCCCTTGGCTGGCATAAAGTGGGATTTAACCACGCCCAGTGTTACCTACCTTTGAAGCAGATGGGGTCTGTGTGCCTGAGAGGGGCACCCATTCCCATGGCAGTACAGGGACTTGTCAGGTCTCAGTGCTCTGCTGAGGAAGATGGGGCTCATCACTCACAGGGCTGCTGGTCACAACAGTGACAGTCCTTCCCATGATCAATGTACATGCCTAAGGCTGGCAGTGGACTGCA